CGGCGTCACTGTTTCACAATGTGGACAGGACGCTCCGTGTGCCCAGCACTTTGCAAACATCCATCCTTCAATCCCGTGACGATTCTGAGGTGGGCACTGTGACCTCCCTCAGGTCCCAGGTGGGGATCGGAGGGTCCCCCAGCTCCTCGGCGATGGGGCTGACAGTCAACTGTGGCCATCTGGCCGCAGTCGAGGGTCCGGCCAGCAGTTTCCAAGGAGCATGGGGGCCTGCAGTCCGCCCAGCTCGGGAGCTCCAAGCCATTTCATCACAAGAGCTTGCTGTCTGCCCTCCCGGTGGTGCTGCCCTGCTGTGAGCGCCACCCACTGAGCCAGCCAGTCCCTGCAGTCCGTCTCTAACCTCAACAAAATGCCCCGTCGCGTAGGAACATCCTCAGTGAAGTGCCGTGATTCCGTTATGCAGTCCTGATGCTGACTGCGCTTCGCTGTGTGCGCCCCTCTCTGGCCTGAGTCTGTCCCACCCTGTGTCCTGTCCCCAGGCCTCGGGCGGAGCTGGGCACACACTCCGGGCTCTGGACGTGCCGCCTTGGGAAGAGGGACAGCGCACACAGAGTGGGAAGAGGAGGAAGTGCCCTTTGCCGCAGAACTGCTGTAAGCCCGGGGGCTCCAGGGGCGGTGAGGGAGGCACAGTGAACAGGACAGAGAACCCACTGCCTCCTGACGGCGAGCCGCCCCGCCCTTCCTACCTGCTCAGGTCACTGGTCCTGCAGAGGCAGCGAAGAGAACAACAAACAAAAGAGCCCTGGCCGGTGTTGCTCAGTGGGTAGCGCACCGGCCTGCAGACCGAAGGGTCGCAGGTCTGATTCCGGTCAAGGGCACATACATGCCCAGGTTGCGGGCTAGGTCCCCAGGAGGGGCTGTGCAAGGGGCAGCCGATCCATGGTTCTCTCTCATCATGGATGTCTGTCTGTCTCTCCCTCTTCCTCTTCCTCTCTGACATCAATAAAAATAAAAAATAAAAATAAAAAAAATGAACAAAGAGCATGGCTGTTGGGTCCAACACAGCCATAATACGGCCACTAAAATCTGAGTTCCTTAGAATTCTCACATCACAAAATGGCACTCTTCTGATGAGGAGAGGGCAGGGACGGAGGGGAAACTGAGGTAGTAGATTGGGTCAGAGTATCTGCTTCCGGCAGAACCGTCCCTTTTCGTATTTCCACAAGCCACATTTCACTGAATCTTCTTCTGTAAATATCTATTTTTATTAATTTCAGAAAGGAAGGGAGAGGGTGAGAGAATAGAAACATTGATGATGAGAGAGAATCACTGATTGACTAGCTCCTGCGCGCCCCAGCAGCCCACCATCTGGGCACGTGCCCTGACCATGGCCTCCTGGCCCACAGGCTGATGCTCGACCACTGATCCATGCTGGCCAGGCCCATGTTTTGTTCTATTTTTATTTTTTTTTTAATTTTTAATATATTTTATTGATTTATTTACCGAGAGGAAGGGAGAGGGATAGATAGAGAGTTAGAAACGTCGATGAGAGAGAAACATCGATCAGCCGCCTCCTGCACCACCCCACTGGGGATGTGCCCACAACCAAGGTCCATGCCCTTGACCAGAATCGAACCCGGGACCCTTCAGTCCGCAGGCCGACGCTCTAGCCTCTGACCGGGAATCGAACTGTGACCCCCTGGTTCAAAGGTCGCTGCTCAATGACCAAGCCACGCAGGCTGGGCACCTGCAGTATTTATTTCTAAAAACGCGGTGAGAATGGCTATCAGTGCTGACAGCAGCCCCTCTCAGCTCCGAGCGGAGCAGCCCAGACGGAGGCAGCTCTGACAGTAAAGCACGAAGCGATACCCAGTGCCCCTGGGAGAGGTCCTGGGAGACCCCAGGGGAAGGCACACCCACACTGCCTGCCCCCCACAGGCGCTTCCGGAGCAGACAGCACTTCGCCAGCATCTGAGCAGGAAGACGGCTCCCTTCAATGCCGGAAGCAGTGACACTGACAGAACTCAGAAATGGAAGCAGGGCACTGAGTCACCACCATCCAATTTCCCCCAATCCCTTTTCTTTTTTTAACATTTTTTATTGATTTCAGAGAGGAAGGGAGAGGGAGAGAGAAACATCCATGATGAGAGGGAATCATTGATTGGCTGCCTCCTGCACGCCCCCTACTGGAGACTGAGCCCACAACCCAGGCCTGTGCCCTGATTGGAATGGAATCCAGGAGCCCTTCAGTCTGCAGGCTGATGCTCTATCCACTGAGCCACCCTAGCCAGGGCTCCCTCCATCCTTAACATGATTTCCCCGAGTGTTCTTTCTGCCTAATCTCATCCTAAAAACCAAAGTTTCACTCCCAGATCCTCGAGGCGTCCTTCATCTTATTTTTGACATTGACTTAAAAAGAGGAGGTTAGACCAGTGGTTGGCAAACTCATTCGTCCAAAGAGCCAAATATCAACAGAACGATCGAAATTTCTCTGGAGAGCCACGTTCTTTAAACTTAAACTTCTAACGCCACTTCTTCAACACAGACTCGCCCAGGCCGTGGTATTTTGTGGAAGAGCCACACTCAAGGGGCCAAAGAGCCGCGTGTGTGGCTCGCGAGCCGCGGTTTGCCGACCGCCAGGGCAGACCATCACAGTACACAGGTTAGCACCGAATTCAACTTGGCTCTGCACGCCAAGTGCCAAGTGGCTGTAACCGGAGAGTGAAGCCTCACGCTAGACCTTACATCGAGGTGAGACGTGCCAGCTGCAACCGGGGAGGTGAGAGTGCTCCCCTGGGGAGCGGCTGGGGGGCTCGCGGCTCCGTAACCCCGGAGAGCACACCGCGGGCTGCCTGCGACCCATCCGGGAGGGACAAGCTGGGCCCTATTTCCTTCTTTTCTTTTCTTTAAAAACATTTTTATTGATTTTTTACAGAGAGGAAGAGCGAGGGATAGAGAATTAGAAACATCAGATGAGAGAGAAACGTCAATCAGTTGCCAAGGTCCATGCCCTTGACTGGAATCGAACCTGGGACCCTTCGGTCCGCAGGCCGACGCTCTATCCACTGAGCCACACCGGTTGGGGCTCGGGTGCCCTATTGCTGAGGGGACCTGCTCGCCCCGCTATTTCTGCCACGAACCTCTGACGACCTCCCCAGGGAAGCCCACAGCCAGGCCTGTCTGCTCTCCCCCCGGGCCCCGCACTCCCATCCCAAAGACAGGCAGTTTTGATTGTCCTTCAGCCACACTGGTGATGAGAAGGAAAAGCCAACTCGCGCGAAGGCAGAGGACATGCCTCCAGTCCACAGCGCCCTGAAGAGTCCCTAAGATTCACAAACCGTTACCCACAGGCTAAGGTGACCAGACGTCCTGCCTCTTTAAAACGCCGCGGGACGCGGGACAAACTGTTGAAAATCGGGACTGTCCCGCCAAAAGCGGGACGCCTGGTCACCTCACTGTAGACGCGTCTGTACAACCTTGGCTTCCTCCAAACGGACAAAACCTCCATTAAGAGCCTCACTCAGAGTCCCGCTCCTCAGTCTATGAGGAAAGAACCAAAACAAAACAGAAAAAGTGTGTGTGTGTGTGTGGGGGGATTATACACCCCCCCACCCACCAACTCATTCTGAAGATGTGAACTTAGTAAGAAGAAGAGAAAGGGTTTTTCTCCTTCAGCGGGCGTTTCTAGTATTCATGCACTTTCAGAAACCAAAGCTGGCAAGTTTAAAACATTTCCAACTGCATTTGGGGAACAAGAGTTCCTTTACTCTGAAGTACATGCTCTCTGACCAAATAAAGCTATTTTAAAAAAAATTATCTATACTAATAAATCTATATTAATAAAAGGGTAATATGCTAATTAGACCAGACATCTTCTGGATGACCTTCCCAACAAAGCCATGTTGGCAGGGGCCAGGGCAGAGGCCAACAGGGGGGAGCAGTTAGGGGGCAATCAAACCGACAAGGGGGTGGGGATCAGGCCAGCAGGGGAGCAGTTAGGGGGTGATCAGACTGGCAGAGGGGAGGATCAGGCCAGCAGGGGAGCAGTTAGGGGGCGATCAGACTGGCAGAGGGGAGGATCAGGCCAGCAGGGGAGCAGTTAGGGGGCGATCAGACTGGCAGAGGGGAGGATCAGGCCAGCAGGGGAGCAGTTAGGGGGTGATCAGACTGGCAGAGGGGAGGATCAGGCCAGCAGGGGAGCAGTTAGGGGGCGATCAGACTGGCAGAGGGGAGGATCAGGCCAGCAGGGGAGCAGTTAGGGGGCAATCAGACTGGCTGAGGGGAGGATCAGGCCAGCAGGGGAGCAGTTAGGGGGCGATCAGACTGGCTGAGGGGAGGATCAGGTCAGCAGGGGAGCAGTTAGGGGGCGATCAGACTGGCTGAGGGGAGGATCAGGTCAGCAGGGGAGCAGTTAGGGGGCGATCAGGCAGGCAGGTGAGCGGTTAGGAGCCAGCGGTCCCAGATTGCAAGAGATATGCCTGACTGCTGGTTATCCCTCGAGGGGTCCTGCCTTGGAGAGGGTGCAGGCCAAGCTCAGGGACCCAGCCTTGTGCACGAATTTCGTGCACCGGGCCTCTACTTACTTACAACTTAAATTCCTCCCAAGAGCCATTTTCTACATTAACACCTAACATCGTATTCCCAAAAGCATTTTTATGGCTGTCTGGCCCAAATATTAATTTTAAAATATCAATTTCATCAACTGAGAAATACACAGCCCTCTAAAGCATGACCATCTTTTGCTTCCCAGCGAGAGGCGTGATGTGATGCAGGTTCCATCACTTAACATAATTCTGAAAAAAAGACACAAAAACTAATGATATTTCGTTATTAAGTGTTATTCTCAAAAAAAAAAAAGAAAAAGACTTCATAAATAAAAATCAACCACCCCTTCCGCCCTCAGTATCCTACCCACCAAAAATAAAAAAGATCCTAAGAAAATCTCTCATCATGCCCACATCAGACATCACTGAGCACTTTAGATTAAGAATGGGAAGTCACTACGCCCCGTTATAGAGGGTTCCAAGCTTAAATCTACTCACACAGTGGAGGACGATGAGCAAACAGCTGTCCTGTGGCTTGACACAGACATTAGCTTCCTGCCTTCCCTATGCTCACAAGCAGCTACTTAAAGTTTGAGTTTTTAGGCAAGAAAACATGTTAAAGCTTCCGTGTTTCCCTGCAGCAGACGTCAGGTTCATTCCTGTAACACATGCAACAGGGAACAGGATTGAGACAGTTAAAATGGACCGGGCACACCGTAAGGGCCTAAAGGCTTAAGGATTCGTTCGCTATGGCAGTGAGTTAGATAAGAAAGGGTCGTTGAGGCACAAGGAAGAAACAAAAATAATTGCAGCCGGAACCGGTGTGGCTCAGTGGCTAGAGCGTCGGCCTGCGGACGGAAAGGTCCCAGGTTCGATTCCGGTCAAGGGCATGGACCTTGGTTGCGGGCACATCCCCAGTGGGGGGTGTGCAAGAGGCGGCTGATCGATGATTCTCTCTCATCGATGTTTCTAACTCTATCCCTCTCTCTTTCTCTCTGTGAAAAAGTCAATAATATATATATAAATATATATAAAGATATCTGGATAGCAAAGTAGTATGAATTAGGTGATACCAATATATTTTAGTTAAAAAAAAGAAAAAAAGAAAAAGAAACAAAAATAATTGCAGCTGAAACCGGTATGGCTCAGGGGCTAGAGCGTCGGCCTGCGGACGGAAAGGTCCCGGGTTCGATTCCGGTCAAGGGCATGTACCTTGGTTGCGGCACATCCCCAGTGGGGGGCATGCAGGAGGCAGCTGACCGATGATTGTCTCTCATCGATGTTTCTAACTCTCTATCCCTCTCCCTTCCTCTCCGTAAACAATCAATAAAATGTCTTAAAAAAAAAAAAAAAAGTATTTTTAAAAGATAAAATAAAATAATTGCACTTGGCATTTGACACCGATATCCGATACCACACCAGGTAACTCTAACACAGATCATCCTTCCCCGGCCACAAGCCTGGGGAGCAAGGGTTACTGTTTTCAATCATTTGTCCGCAAAGCAAGCCAACGAGGCTGCTGCTTTCCCCCTGAGGTTTAGCGAATGTATTCAGCATCAACAGCTATAAAACACCTAGGGAATAGCTCTGACAGGGCCTGGCGGGAATTCAGAGGCCTCAGACCATCCCGGGACCCTCCAGCGTGGGGAGGATGAGGCCCTGGTCCCAGGAGCAGCAGCCACGTTCCTGACATGCACTCTGAAGGTTACACCGCGCCCCCCCCCCCCCCTCCAGGGTCTGGAGCACCGTTATTCCAATGTTACCAGGCTTTCAACCCAAATATCCCAGAATTACCCGGGTAATTCCTTTCCCCTACATCAGTGGCTGGCAAACCCATTAGTCAACAGAGCCAAATATCAACAGGACGACGGCTGAAATTTATTTGGAGAGCCAAATTTTTTAAACTTAAACTATTGTATATAGGTAGGTACATTGTTACTGACTTAATTAGGGTCCTCCTTTAATCGCACTGTACGTGCAGCGCCCACACGTGGTATTCTGTGGAAGAGCCAGACTCAATGGGCCGAAGAGCCGCATGTGGCTCGCCAACCACTGCCCTACCTATACAATACTACAGGCCTGGGGCACGAATTCATGCAGGGGTTGGATGTGGGAGTGCACTGACCACCAGGGGGCAACTCCCATGTTGAGCACCTGCCCCCTGGTGGTCAGGGTGCATTATAGCAACCGGTTGGTTGGTCCCCTGCCCCCTCTCACAGTCCGGGAGCCTCAGGGCTGGGAGGTGACCCGGCGATCATGCAGAGCAATACTATCGGTTACAAGTGGGATCAATACACAGAAAACACCAAGGACAAAAACCTCACTTCCTAGAAACGAGGCGCACATCAACACCCATGTCACTTTCCTGGCCAAGGTTAGGCGTGCTGTTTTTTAAGAAGAAAGTGTTTTTTGGTTCTAGATGGTAACACACACTCTGTCATAGTTTTATTTTAAAAATATAGATATTTCTTTTATTGATTTCAGAGAGGCAGAGCGAGAGGGAGAGCAAGAGGGAGAGGGAGAGGAACATTGACGTGTTCATACAATGAATTAGCATTTGACCGGCATTTTCCCACATCACAGAAACGAAGGCTGGTCCTGCGGGTGTGGCTCAGGGGGTTGAACACTGACCCAGGAACCAAAAGGTCACCTCTTTGCCCACCAGTGAACATGCCTGGGTTGTGGGTTCCATCCCCAGCAGGGGGCGGTAGATGATGTTCCTCTCTCTGTCCTTGTCCCTTCCTCTCTCCCTCTCTCAAAATCAATAAAAACATTAAAAAACAAACAAACTCTGAACCCCTGACATATCAACTGTAGGAAATCTAATCACCCAAGTAAAACTCAAGTGAACAAACCTGTCCATCTTCAATCAGGGATATACTTTAAAAATATATATTTTATTGATTTTTTTACAGAGAAGAAGGGAGAGGGATAGGTAGTTAGAAACATCGATGAGAGAGAAACATCTATCAACTGCCTCCTGCGCACGCCCCCACCTGGGGATGTGCCCGCAACCAAGATACATGCCCTTGACCGGAATCGAACCTGGGGCCCTTCTGTCCACAGGCCGAGGCTCTATCCACCGGGCCACACCGGTCAGGGCAATCGAATGCTTTAACAGTGCAGAACATACTAATTCGGTGTAAATGAACTCTTTTCCGCCTTCTAGGCCATTTAATCTGACAATCTAAAAATAATATGCCCGATGATATATCCACTTTTAAGACGTTCTAATTTGTACTATGTTCTCTTTGAGAATTTAATGGCACCCACAGGTCGTCTTAAAAAGCCAATACACTATATATAGATGTATGTGTCATACATATACTGTATCTATACAAAGCACAATTGAAGGAGTCTCTTTTTCACACCATTAAAATGCCCTACGTGCATATTTCTATGACTTCTATTGATAATATTGAAAAGAAAAACTAGTCATTGGACACATTTTCAAATGTCACGACTCCCTTAATTGGGAATAGCAGCAGCAGCGTGGCAGCTCTGAAACTACCGAGGAGTCGGCACCGGAACCGGCACTGCCTTGGTGCCAGCACTGAGACCCCCTGGGTAACGCGGGCGCCTGGGGCAGGGGCACTGATGTGCTGTCGGCAGCTGGCACCAGCCCCTCCCGAAGGCCTTTCTCTCCTGTCTCTGTGCCGTCATCAAACACAACACAGAGGACCAAGCACGTGCTCTCTGGAGCCACTTAGCATTCAGGGGAAACTTTCCACTTCACCAACCAGGTGCTCTCTTTATTGACTGTTCTCCTCACTGACTGGTCCGAAACCTGCTGGGGGAGGGCCTCTGGCGCCAACGCTGGCCTCAATGGACACACTGCCAGGAGCCAGAAGCAAAGGCCCAGGGAGTCTGAGTCAAACTTCCAGGAGCAAAGCAAGATGAAGAAGCCACGTCTCCCTGAGATGCTCACTAACCCTGGATGTCCCTCTAAGTCTAAACCTTCACGCCAGCGTTTCTCAAGTCTGCGGATGAACAGCATCAGAAAGACGCTCACGTCTGTGTCCCACTCCATACCCTGACTCCGTTTCTGGAGCCCCAGTCCAAGCACTAGCACGCTCCAGCCAGCTCCTAAGGGGTTTTCAGGTTCACGTTTGGCTCAATGGATAGAGCATCAGCCTGTGGACTGAAGGGCACAGGCCTGGGTTGCGGGTTTGATCCCCAATGTGGGGCGTGCAGGAGGCAGCCGGTCCATGATTCTCATTCACATTTCTATCTCTCTCTCCCTCTTCCTTCCTCTCTGAAATCAATAAGAATGTATTTAAAAAGCAAATAAAATAAATAAATAAATAAATAAATAAATGGCCGCACTTGTTACACGAAGGGAACAGCCCTTAACTTTTTCAAAGTTGTCGGGACTGCAGCCGAGAACGCTCACCACTGAGCCGGCTGGTGTGGTCACGCTCCCGGATAGAAAAGAGAGTTCAAAGGCCAACAAGGAACCAGGCCGCCGAGCCATGTGGTGCAGAGTGGGGGCCAGAGCCAGAGCTGGAGGCAGCGGGCAGGCAGTGAGAGCCAGCATGGCCCGAGCTGAGAGGGAGGAGAGGCGTGTGGAGCCTGGAGAGACTGCAGGTGTGAAGGAGGCGGGAAGCTGTGGCTATCGGGGTGCAGAAGGCGGGTCAGAGCACCCCCAGGATCTGGCTTCCACGCCGTGCCACCCACTGGCTGTGACCGGAGGGGAAGGGCCTGAGAGAGGCTGCTGGGAAGACAAAAGAAGCTATCAATCCGAGGCCGGTGTGGCTCAGTGGATGGAGCGTCGGCCTGTGGACTGAAGGGTCCCGGGTTCGATTCCGGTCAAGGGCATGGACCTTGGTTGCGGGCACACCCCCAGTGGGGGGCGTGCAGGAGGCAGCTGATGGATGTTTCTCCCTCATCGATGTTTCTGGCTCTCTATCCCTCTCCCTCCCTCTGTAAAAAATCAATAAAATATATATTAAAAAAAACAGAAGAAGCAGTGGTCAAGTTCAGCCTTGCCGAGGTCCATGTCGGTACGGAAGAAGGGATGACTGTGGGTGGCAAATAAAACCCTGATTGAAGACACAGGTCTCAGAGCCATTCATACGCACGTATGTTAACCCAAGAAGCTCAGCGGGAACAAAGTGAGGCCAGAACCCGCTGAAGTTCATGGATGTGAAGAGGGAGCGTGGCCAGAGCGGCCGGGCAGCTATGACATGAATGGGAGGAGCCGCAGAGGGACAGTTATCAACAAAAGAGCCGCCTCCTCCCATACGGGCGGCTTTTATTTTATTTATTTTATTTTTTTTAAATATATTTTATTGATTTTGTACAGAGAGGAAGGGAGAGATAGAGAGTTAGAAACATCGATGAGAGAGAGTCATCGATCAGCTGCCTCTTGCACACCCCCTACTGGGGATGTGCCCGCAACCAAGGTACATGCCCTTGACCGGAATCGAACCCGGGACCCTTCAGTCCCCAGGCCGACGCTCTATCCATTGAGCCACACCGGTCTCGGCCCATACGGGCGGCTTTTAGAAGCCGTACAGGAAATCCGTGGCAAACGGGCGGCCGTCAGGGAGAACAGAGAGAACTGTGACAGCTTCTGGGGAAGTTTTAGCGGCTGGCTGCCCATTCAAATCATTCCTCCTGGTGTAAGAAAAACTCAATCCTAAGGACTGCGAGAGCC